AGAAACAAGGAAATAATCTCAAGCTTTTCTTTGCTGTGCTAGTGGAATTTTAACAAGGGTTTCTCATGGACCCCTAGTCACCTCTTCCAGCACACCACTGGCCATATTAGAAAACCACTTGGGTCCTGATTCAAAGTGCATTAGAGTCAATGGAAGTCTTTTTCATTGACTTCAGTGGGTACTGGACCGGATTCATACTATCCCTATGCATAGTATCCTTCTCCTGACTAGAATGTGGTAGAAACAGCAGGTCTGTGTGTATGTCTGCCTAGCCAGAGACGTAAGCTATGAGAAACATAGTTTGTTTTCTTTTGTTTCTTTTTTCAAGCTCTCTTATGGCAAAGGAAGTTGGGGTGCCCCGGGGAAGGAAGTCCAAGTGCTTTCTTCCTGGGTTCAAGAAAAAAGGGGGTTTTCTTTTGTTCCACTTGGTGGTGGCAGCTACCTCTCCAAAGTGAGTAAATCTGTGACTCTAAGGAGTTTTTGTAAGCAGAGTCTTTAGAGGCAAGGTGTTTAAGGTCTCTTGCAACCCCCATCTTCTGCAGTCAGAGTGCCAGAGTGGGGAACAGCCTTGACATCCCCACATTCAGAATCCCCTCCCAAGCAGCTCCTCTCCTCCTGCACCTGGAGCACCCTGACAAGCCACCTACACCTAGATCCCCAACCCCACTGACACCAACTCCCCCCCAGGATCTGCCCCTGCCACTGAAGCCCCCACACTCAGCTCCTCTTGCTAAGATCTAGCCTCCTAACATGCAGACTCCTCCTCCATCCCCCCTCAAGCTTCAACCACCTTCACATGGACCCCCGGCAGAGTCCCATTACCACTGCATCCAGAACCCCTCAGCAAGCCCCTGTGCATCCAGATTCCCCCACACCTAGATCTCCACTGGGCCATTCACACCCAGATTGCCCCACATGGAACCCTCTCAACCCTCTCTTGGATGCCCCCATATTAATCTCCTCCATACTTGGATTCTGCCTTGCCGAGCCTGCCTGCCCACATGGAGGAGCAGGGCCCTGGGGTATTTCTGGGGCAGGCCTAGTCCTTGTATTGTGTCAGGGTTGGGTGCAGCTTCACCATTGACTTCAGGACCCAAGGGGAGTGCCCAAAGATCTCCCACCTATATGCAGCCAGTGGCCTGTTCTCCCCACTGCCATGCTACAGCCTCCATATTTATTTGAAAATTTGAAAAAAATTGCAGAATTTTAAAATATTGTGCATAGAATTTTAAATTTGTGGTGCAGAATGTTAGTATTTTTGACACAGAATGCCCTTAAAAGTAAACACTTCAGTGTGAGCATTTATTGTACTCAGTCACTTGGACAGATAAAAAGTATTTTCATTTCCAATGTGATTTTTTTTTTTAATTCTGCTGTTCAAAATTAGCAAAAATTAGAAAAACCTTACGGCAACTGCTGGTCACATTGTAGGCAGCCCACTATATCCCTGCTTGCAAAGCAATAGTTCCTAGCTGGATTATAAATCAGTTCTTTGAGTCTGGTCTCAGTTTTTCCACTGTCTTAGTCCTTTTCGATACAGCATTGTATTTCCACTAGGGACATTAGATATTGTGTAATTGAATAGTCATGTAACCACATGAAGTCTTAGCGGTTATATGACTATTCTATAGTTCCTGGGGGTAGGGTCAGCAGCCAGTGCGCTCCCGGCCTCCCTCCCAGGGATCCCTCTGCCACCCCATGCTGCTGCCCGGGGTGTATCAGACGGGGGCCAGTCCAGCAGGGGAGCCAGTTTAAAAACCAGCTCCCCACGCATACCGGCTGCCTGCCACCCTGTATTACTGTCTCTGATACAGAGGTAGCAGCACACAGTGGCAGCAGCCCCTCTCCATTGGGGTCTGAGCTCCCTATGGACAGAGGCTACTCCGTGGGATGCTAGGCAAGCCTCTGTCCGAGAGGAGTTCGGACTCCCTGTGCACAGAGTCTGTTGCTGTGGACCACCCTGTGTTCACAGCAAGCCTGGGCCGCTGTGAACCGAGGCTGCTTCTTAGCAGCCTCCCCTGCCCCATTCTGCTGCATCTGGTAGGGGGAGCAGTGTGGGGGAAGGTGGGATGTGGCACCACGAAACTGGTGCTGGGGGGAACTGGATCTTAAGCTGCCTCCCTCTCCCTCACTGCCTCTATAGGAGGCAGTAAGGTGGGGGAAGGCTAGTCTGCAGAATCAGCACATATGGGGAGCCTGCTTGAAATCTGGCTTCCTGCACATATCCACTCCAGCCTGCCCCCCTCATCCTCCATACTGCTGTTTCTCTATCAGAGGCAGCAGTGTGTGTGGCAGGGGGAGGTAGATCTGGTGCTCGTGGGGAGCCTGCTAAAAGCCAGCTCCTCATGGGTACTGTCTCATGCTCCCCTCACCCCTTTGCTGCCTCTGATACAGAGGCAGTGTCACCCACCGGCCCCTCCCCGCAGGTATGTGGGATGGGTTCTCCCTCGTATGAGAGACCAGGGCCCCCATCCCGGGTTTATTCTCAGCCCCTGTCTACCAGGGTGTGGACGTGCCTGCAGAAGACGGCCAGGCCCTTGGCATTGTGATCCACTACCCTGGGTCCTTCTGCAGCCTTCGGCGTGGCAAGAGTCTGACGTTGGCGCTTGCCTGGAGTAAAATCCTTCCGTTGCCATGGCTCGCATTTGGGTTGGTCAGGCCTTGGCCCTCTGAGTCTCTCCCTCGAGCTGGGCTAGGCCTGCAAAATAGTGCAGTTCAGTTTCTCGAAGGGTAGGGGAACTCAGGCCCTCCCCTTCAACCGAGCTCCAGCCCAGGACCCTAAAGGGTAGGACACTTTGGCACTACCTGAATGGTGAGGTGTAGGTCGACCACTCACCACCCCTCTTGGGGCGTTGTCCATTATGACTCCCCATCCTGGGCGACTTCCTACGTAGTCTTACAGGCTCCTTCGGTGTCCACTGCTCGCCTGCCTCGTCCCGTCGCTTACCCACCACGGCTGCTGCTGTATCTGCTGGGGTAACGGTGGTCGGGTCATCGGCTCTGGTGCTTCTCTGTGGGACCTTGCCACTCTGCAGCCAGCCTTGGGCTCCTCTCCTGAGGGATTGCCCCTCTGCACCTTCCGGGTCTGCTCTCCCAGATCTGCAGGATTTGGAGCTGGCCCTGAGGTTGTCCACCTAGGCAGCTCCTCCCCTGGGCTCTCCATTTTCCTCCACACCTCCCTCTGCCACCACCACCTTGGCGTGCTCCACCTGCCTTAACCACTGTGCCGGCCCAGCTTTTGAAGAAACCACATGCCGGAGCATGTGCAGCAGCGCCGGAAGATGCCGCGCAGCTCACCCCTGGTCGACAGGGCTGCTGGCGCCTTCTTGCCAGAGAGAGGGGACAGGCTTGCCCCATCACAGGCAGCAAGGTGGAGGGAGAACGTGTAGTCAACAAGATTAACGAATAAGCCAAGGCTTATCGGTTAATTGTGCAGTCGACTACACATTGACATCCCTAATTTCCACTGAACCTTCATGCAGCAAAAGCACCAAATTCTGCTCTTTTACCTGTATTAATCCAGGCAATTCAACATTAAAGCCAACGGAGTTATTCTAGGTTTACACCAGCATAACTGCCAGCAAAATTTGACCATTGGATTCCAGAAAATATTTGCCTAGTAGAAGGGTGACACTGTGCCTCTTTAGAGACTTTTCTACCTTGCTTGAATATGGGTGTGAGAGAGAGACGTTTGATTCTAAACATTTCACTCAGGTGCCTATCTTACAATGATTGACGTCAAAGAGATGACAGCAGAAGACTCTGCTCTGAACACTGAGTAAAAAATCACTGAGGGTTTAATGGGGTTTTTAAAGGGTGCAGATGGATACAGAAAGAACAACCGCACAATCAGCACGGACTAGCACATGACAACATCGATCTAACATAGACAGAGGGTTAAATTATGCTTTGTCCTGCCTGGGAGCAATAGATATTGGAGAATGTAGAGAGAACACTTTTCCTTGTCCTCCTCCTTCTCTTGCCCTTGGCATCTATACAGGAGAGAGTCACCATGTGACTTTCAGTGCACATGAGAGGAAAATGGCTAACACTGCATCCTACGCTCACTGACCCCTGTAAAAGAAGTGGGGCAGGGTGTGGGCAGGGTCAGGGACTTACCACCACCACCCCCATATGTGCCAGGACAGTTTTTTTAAAAGTGTGCAATAGGGATATTAAAGAGTAGTCAATTAGTCGACTACTTGATAAGCCCAGACTTATGTGGTAGTTGAGTCAACTACTCGCATTCTCCCCCACTTTGCTACCTCTATATCAGAGGCACCAAGGGGAGGAAAGGAGAGGGGGGAGCAGGAACCAGTGCTGGGGGAGCCGGCTTAAAAGCTGGTTTCCCCCAGCACCTTCTCTGTGGTACGGGGGGGTAGGCAGGGAAGGCAGAGGTACCAGTGCAAGCCAGAACTGCTGAGTCCTGGCTCACACTGGATCTGGGATCTATCCCTGCTGTGGCTCTGCATTTTAAATGTAGTAGGAGCCGGGCTGCCTGCATGTCCAGCTCCTATTATATTTAAAATTAAGAGCCACAGCGGGGCCCCTTATTGATTAATTGTGTATGCGATACAAATTGTATTGACTACACGATTAATGAATTACCCGCTTCTTAACATGCTTAGTGTGCAAAGGCTTCTTGCTTTGCTCTGCTTCCAGCTCCCAGAAAGAGCTGCACCTAAGACAACATACTGCCTTCCGGCATGGCTTCCTTAGCTTATGCACCTCTGTCCCCTCCCAAGTATGGCACAGTCTCACTGAAAGTAAAATTTGGCCCTGAAGATGTACACTGATGACATTATATTAATATGCATTTCTCATATTCTTCTATAAAACCCCAGGCATGATCATTAAAACACTGTTATGCTGTGCTAAGTAATTCTTAATTCAGTTTTTTAGATAAGATATAAAACCTCTTGCTGTCATTAAATATCCGATGACACTTTTTGCACATGCTTACCCTCATCTCCTCACCAGATTCCAATCAGAGTAATTACCTTCTTTCTAGCATGGTGGTGCTTTGTGCTGTAAAACAATGCTCACATCCCAACTTGGAGCAGCTGCGTTGCAATGTCAGATGAAGCAATCCTTCTGCATAATCTGAAAGCAGCCGCTTTTAGACTTTTTTGGATGAAAAGTGCCACATAACTGTAAGACAAACCAACAACAGATACAATTCACAAGGTTGGGAATTGCAATCACGTGTGCCAATTTGCTGTACAGTGCCAAAAGATCTGATAAACATCTTCTGTTATTGTATAGAGGATATAGACATAGATTCTGATTTCCCATGCAGTGGAGAAACTCCACTGCATGCTGAAGAATTGAACAGAATGCAGAAAACAATTTGAGGGTTGGAGAAAATGCCTTACCCCGAGACATACAGAGCTCAATATAAAGGAAGTTTTAGAGGTGACTTGGTTACAGTATCTAAGTACCTTCATGTGGTGAAAACACCAGTTACAGAAAGGATCTTCAGTTTAATGGGGAAAGGCACAATGAGAACCAATGCCCAGAAGTTAAACCCAGACAAATTTAATTAGCCATAAGGCACAAGTTCTTAACGGGGAGGGCTATTAACCATTGGTACAAACTACCATGGGAAATGGTAGAGTTTCCATTTTTGGTGTCTTCAAATCACATAAAGGGAGTAACTAGATGATACTCTATGACTGGCTTTCAAACTGAGCTGAGCCTCACCCCTTACCCCACAGTAGGGAGCCTACGGTGCTCCAAACATGCCCTCTCACCCCCAACGTGGTTGGAGTGACAGCCCCAACTTTCCCGCTTGGAGTGGGGAGAGAAAGCCCCGAGCCTCGCTGCGCGATCCAGCTTATGATCGTTCCCCAGCTGGGGGAACAGCAATGCGCAGGCATGCTGCCAGAAGGCTTTCCCCACTGCTCCCATTGGCTGGAATCCTGCCGATGGGAGTGGCAGGAGGTGGTGCCTGAGAACAGCACAGAGCACAAAGACAAGTAAGTGCCCCCCCAGAACCCACATCCCCCAGCCTGCTTCTGCACCCTCTCCCCTGCCCAGACACCCTATCCCCAGACCACTCCTGCACCTTCCCTTCCTCCTGCACCCTTCCCCCAGCCAGACACTCTACCCCAGCCTGCTCCTGCATCCACCCTTGCTCCTGCACCCTCCCTCCTGGCCACACACTGCACCTTTCTTTGCTCTTACACTCCCCCCCCCCACTGGCCAGACACCCTACCCCCAGTCTCTCAGCCCCCTTCCTCTCGTCCAGACCTCACCTCTTCACCCCCTCTTATAGCCTAACTATCACCCAGATCTTGTACCCTCAACCCTCAGCCCCTCCTACATCCCACCTCCAGCCCAGATCCTGCATCCCCATTCCTTTTGCTGCACGGCCCCTTTAATTGCGGCATGTTCCGAGTGGGCTTTGGTCCGGCGCGGTGCAAGTGCTTCCAGGGCCGGCTGGGGGTTGCTCCAGGAGCCGACTCAAGCCAGGACTGAGCAGTTCTGGCTTGTGCTGGGTCTGGAGCCACCCATGCTGCGGCTCTGCATTGTAAAAGTAGTAAGAGCTGCTAGGGTGCAGCAGTGCAGCGATGCAGAGGTGCAGCGATCAGAGTGAGCCGGGACTGCTTGGTCCTGACTCACGATGAGTCCAGCAGCCCCTGTTCGCGGTGAACAGCCCTGTCTGCCATGCACAGGGCTAGTGCTGGAGCAGCCTTTGTTCACAGCAGCCAGGACTGGCCACGAGCAGGAGTTGCTCAGGCAGTAGCCAGTCTGTGGCCAGCTCTCCAAGTTTCCACTTCTTGTACGCTTCCCTTTTGTGTTTATGCTCACCAAGGATTTTCACCGTTAAGCCAATCTGGTTGCCTTCCACATTTGCTTTTCTTACTGCATGTCAAGATGGTTTGTTCATGCACCTTCAATAAGGCTTCTTTAAAATACAGCCAGCTCTCCTGGATTCCTTTCCCCTTCATGTTAGCATCCCAGGGATCCTGCCCATCAGTTCTCTGAGGGAGTCAAAGTCTGCTTTTGTGATGTCCAGGGTCTGTATTTTGCTTCTCTCTTTTCTTCCTTTTGTCAGGATCCTGAAATCAACCATCTCATGATCACGGCTTCCCAGGTTTTCACCCACATCTGCTTCCCCTACTAATTCTTCCCTGTTTGTGAGCAGCAGGTCAAGCTGCACATGGCCCCGGTTGGTTCCTTCAGCATTTGTTAGGAAGTTATCCCCAACATTCTCGAAAAGCTTCCTGGATTGTCTGTGTGCTGCTGTATTGGTCTCCCAACAGATGTCAGGGTGATTTAAGTCCCTCATGAGAAGCAGGGTCTGTGATCTGTGCTGTTAGTTGTCTGAAAAAAGCCTCGTCTACCTCATCCACCTGACCTGCTGGTCTATAGTAGACACCAACCATGACATCACACTTGCTGCTCCCTTGTTACTTATATGAGGAGGAAGGCTCTAACAGTTGTGGATATATAAATAGTAACTCTTGGCAACAGCTGTTGTAATTCTGGGGACAATTGGTACGTCTACACCACAAAAAACAGACCTGTGTCAAAGCCCTAGTCAACTGACTCGGGTTTGCACTACAGAACTAAAGATAGCACAGTAGGCATTAAGGTTTGTCTGGTGCCTGAGCCATTTGAACTTCTGCACTACTATATTAAGCTTCACATAGTGTGCACCCCATGAGCCATGTCAGTTGACCTGGGCTCTGCAATTCATTGCCATAGGATTGGATTTATTCTATAGTGTATGCATACCCTCAGAAGTCATAGATATGATGTAAATGCATATAATGGATTCTCTTTGAAATACCTGAAACAGGTTGTTTTTTTGACACAGTCTTTGCTTTCCGAGATTTTGTTGGTGCCGGACTGCTTGATCATATCCCTCCACCAAAAAAGGAAAAGTAAATTAACTGCTGTTTGCTTGGCTTGAAATGCATTGGACTTGGAAGAGTGTCTGGTTTGGTGCAGCAGCAATAAAACCTAACTATTGCTGATAGCATCCTCCAAAGCTTTCAGGGACAGTATTATATATGTATTTTTAACCTTTATGCAGACAGCAGGATCAATATGAGCTAAATTTGCATTTCATAGCTTGAACCAAAACCATTTCATACCAATATAATAAAAAAAAAATCAAAAGAACAATGAGACATTCTGGCACATGTGTATGTTTTCTAAAAGTGCGCATAATGAGGGTTTCAGAGATGCACAACTCAACCTCCCACCTCATACTTTTATTAGCCATTATCCTGCCTGAATCTGGAGCAATTGCACAGAATGCAGTAAAAAGCATTCATTTTTCACAATGTTTCTTCACATAACTGACAAATTTATTACTGCAGTAAAAAAAGGGACACATTCTTTGAAATCCTCAGGGCGCCTTGGTTATAATGGTGCCAAATACATTGCGCTTTTCATTAGCATTCTGGTCTCCACAGGGCTCACGCCAGCCTCATCTGCTTTTTCACTGTGCATTTTGCAGATCATGGTGTAGCAGCACCTATCCTTCATTTGTTTCAAACAACAGCTGGCCAACTAGACGTTCCAAGATGCTTTTTGCCAAAATGCAGTGAGACTTCTAGGGATGCACAATCCAGTCTCCCTCCTCAAATAGTTAGTGTTGGGATGTTGTTGAATTATGAATTACTGTGTTTGGCACAAGAGTGGTAAAACTTGGAGAGTTTGAATTTGCTGGAGGATTGTGGGAGCGGGGCTCTTTTAGCATGAGACAAGACACATGGAAAGTTATGGAGAGAGCTGACATGTATTTGGACCTTGAGACGACTCTGCACTTTGGGTGTTTCACCAAGAGCTATATGCATACCTGTGCTGATGTGGAAGAACTATGGTCAGTTGTGTTCACTGAACAAGTTATGCAGAAAATACACAGAACATGAAACTGAGTGACCTGGGTCAACAGAATCTGTAAAATCATACAGCCACAAGAGCTGACCTAAGAAGTGATTGATTGATTGATTGATTGATTAGAGAGAAAATGTCAGACACCTTTCAGTCAGTCCATGTTGTCCCTTCCAAAACATTAATGAGGAATAAAAGCAGATTATGTAACACCACAGTAGCATATTTCTGAGACATGTGACTCCTTTAAGGAAACCATGAAAATGTTGGGGACTATCCTCTTCCCCCCCCCCCCCCCACTGGCCAGACACCCTACCCCCAGTCTCTCAGCCCCCTTCCTCTCGTCCAGACCTCACCTCTTCACCCCCTCTTATAGCCTAACTATCACCCAGATCTTGTACCCTCAACCCTCAGCCCCTCCTACATCCCACCTCCAGCCCAGATCCTGCATCCCCATTCCTTTTGCTGCACGGCCCCTTTAATTGCGGCATGTTCCGAGTGGGCTTTGGTCCGGCGCGGTGCAAGTGCTTCCAGGGCCGGCTGGGGGTTGCTCCAGGAGCCGACTCAAGCCAGGACTGAGCAGTTCTGGCTTGTGCTGGGTCTGGAGCCACCCATGCTGCGGCTCTGCATTGTAAAAGTAGTAAGAGCTGCTAGGGTGCAGCAGTGCAGCGATGCAGAGGTGCAGCGATCAGAGTGAGCCGGGACTGCTTGGTCCTGACTCACGATGAGTCCAGCAGCCCCTGTTCGCGGTGAACAGCCCTGTCTGCCATGCACAGGGCTAGTGCTGGAGCAGCCTTTGTTCACAGCAGCCAGGACTGGCCACGAGCAGGAGTTGCTCAGGCAGTAGCCAGTCTGTGGCCAGCTCTCCAAGTTTCCACTTCTTGTACGCTTCCCTTTTGTGTTTATGCTCACCAAGGATTTTCACCGTTAAGCCAATCTGGTTGCCTTCCACATTTGCTTTTCTTACTGCATGTCAAGATGGTTTGTTCATGCACCTTCAATAAGGCTTCTTTAAAATACTGCCAGCTCTCCTGGATTCCTTTCCCCTTCATGTTAGCATCCCAGGGATCCTGCCCATCAGTTCTCTGAGGGAGTCAAAGTCTGCTTTTGTGATGTCCAGGGTCTGTATTTTGCTTCTCTCTTTTCTTCCTTTTGTCAGGATCCTGAAATCAACCATCTCATGATCACGGCTTCCCAGGTTTTCACCCACATCTGCTTCCCCTACTAATTCTTCCCTGTTTGTGAGCAGCAGGTCAAGCTGCACATGGCCCCGGTTGGTTCCTT